AAAAAAAAAAAAAAAAAAAAAAGAAGGGAAAAAAAAACAAATTTTAAAAATTACAATCCGAATGAATAAAAATATATATATTTCAAGAAAAAAATATCCTCATATTCGGTTATAAAGGTTAAAAATTAATCGTTTAATTAAATCCATTCGTTATGATTTAATTCATCCTGGTTCGAACATATATTCGAAGAGGAAAATAAAAATTAAAAATAAAAAGAGAGAGAGAGAGAGAGAAGAGAGAAATAGAGGGGGAGGAAGTAAAACGCACAGCATCGCAATTAAATCCATAGAATATGGTCGATCGTGAATTATTAAAATTGAAAAACGATGGGGGAGGGGAGGGGGAAATTTTTCAAATGAAACTGGTTACAACGAGGAGGGGGAGGGAGGAACACGATCGCGGCAAACCTTCAGAACAAACGAATATTTATTTCCGGTTCGCCGGCTGCCGTTTTAATAAATTCAATTAAACATCTTCCACGGTGAACGAACAAATTTCTGTAACGGCATTTTCGAGGCGCGTAAATTGTTTCGACGGCTGTGTATTTATTCGCGTGGAGGCCGTATCATTATGAAAATTTATACACCGTTATGAAATGATTTCGTTAAATTGCTTAATTAGCGGGCCGTGGTTTTAAAACGAGTGCTCGGCCCGAGCCGATATTACGCGAGCAGAAATTTTCGGTAATTTCTCCCGCTCCGACGAAATGTTTCTAATTAACGATTATAATTTAAACTTTGGCCAAAATCGCGCAAAAGGAATTACATCTTTGTTTTTTAACCCGCGACGATATTTTGACGCGGCATTTATATGTCGAAACGTGTGTTTTTTTCCTGTTAAACGAATTAAATGTGCCAAGTATTAGGTTAGGTCTCTGAGGGATTATAAAGTGGCGCTAGTGTTCTCAGATGTATTCCACATTTACTTTAATTAGTCGCAAAAAGTTAATATTCCACGCACGATGTTTCAATTTTTATTTCGATATTATTCTGTGTTTTCGAATATTTACTGTTGCGAGTTATTGAAAATTAAGTTATTTCAAATTTTGCTAGAAATATTAGATGCGATTCGGTTAAAATTAGTTGGCCAGATATCGATCGCCAATCGAGGGAATAGAATTATTTCAAATAGAGTTATTATCTCATTTTGATCTCTGGTGAAATGAGCTACGATACTCGCGAAAGATTAAAATTTTCATTTCAAAATAACAAGATTAACATCCAAAAATCCCGGCAATATTATGACGATCACGAAAATTTCAAATCTCGACATATAAATGATTTTAGAAACGAGCGAATAGCGATATGATTTGGAAAAAAAAAATTTCAAAATGTATTTTTATTTCTAACGAAATGGACATTTTTCCATAGGTATATTATTTTCAGTGGAGAGCCAATGATTTCATCGATGCCTCTGGCTACTCGTTTGTTTCCGTTGTAATCCGTCTTTCTGTGTGGTCGATGATCATCAAACGTAGATATTAAAAGAGGATGGTTCATTCCTCGATATCTATGGAAGAAGATCTCTATCTCTTGGCGGACCATTCCTCTCATAATTGTATTCTTTTTATTCCTGAAAGGTCTTAAGCGGAGACGATTCAAGAGCTTGAAAATTAATTCTCAATCTTATTTATATCGATGCTTACATCTTTTCTTTTAATGTCAATTTTATGTGACTTTATTTAAAGTCTTATTTATTTATGGTATTTTTTTATCTTCGTGATTCAAGAAATTTTATTTAAAAAAAATAAAACTTCGTATTGATTTATATTCCTTTTTTAATATATACTTTAAGTAGATTCGTTTCTGCAATTTTATTTCATTTAAGAATTATATTTTTTTTCTAATATGTATTTTATTCCTATTACTAAATATAAAGTTACATAATGTTATTAGAACACGCATAAATGCTATTTTCCCGAGATTCCGATTGTTCATTATTAAATTTCATATCTTTCTATTTCTGCAATTTATTATTATTTTTTTTTTTATTTTTCTTTTACAAAAATTGATGAATTATTTTTGTCATTTTTATAGTATTACATTAAAAAGACTTAATTTCAGTTAGTTTTTAATGAACATACACTCGCTTATAACACGGTGTTTAAAAACAACACGAGTTTAAAACTTTAAGAATATTTACCACTGTTCGCGAAGGGGAATAAAAATATTTAATCGATACAGGTTCTAAAATCAATACTTTCGGTTTAAAATATAATATTTTATATCTCTCCACGTACGGATATTTAAAAAATTTATCTGCTTGAATCGAATTTAAACATCTTTAATTAAATTACTATCGACAATTAATTTAAAATAAAACTATTGAATAATAAAGTGTTATAAATATACCAGCAAAACATAATCTTTTCATAATTTTTCTTTAAAGTGGAGAAAATGGATCCAAGCGTACCGCAGTCATAAATACAAATTTCTTCATTGCATATATTTTTTGCCCAACGCCAATATTAACGTAGTCTAATATCCAAAAGGATATTACAATTACATTACCAAAAAAAAAAAAAAGGAAGAAAGAAAATGATATACACGTATGGTTAAAAACAGATTAAAAGCAAATGAATGCATATTCGTTTATCTGTAATTTCCAGAGTAAATTACATCCTGTCAAAGATAAGCAAGACTGTTGGTGCGCTCTTGAACACTGGTGGAATAAATACGCAAGATTTTCAAGGAGTATCGTTCGATTCGTTTAATTTCGTTGTTTCTCGGCCGACAATTCCCTCTCGTTAAAATCTACGTCATGATAAATGAACTGCCGATGCCCGCCAACCAAGCCAGAATGCGGCGACGTCCGCTCGAATAATCACGAGATAATTACTTTCCTGCACACGGTCCGCCCAAACCGCTCGAAAGCCGGATCTCCCGCGGGAGTTCCAAGGATTCACGAAGCGGACGGACGCGTTAAACCGCAGGAAGGAACGGTTTTTCGCCGGCCCGGATATCTAACTCGCTTAAAACTTCTCTAAGAATAATTCTGCTCCCAACTTTTTTCGAAATTAACTCCTCGTTGTTTCGTTTTTTTCCCCTCCCCTTTACTTTGGGATTCGTTCAAAAAAAAAAAAATGGTTTTTCTTGGGTATTATGGAATTGAATTTTTTTTCGTAATAGAGTTTATAAATCTGGGATATTATGTATCGTGGAATTAATTCGTCGTTATTTCTTCAGGGTTCGATTCGTTTCTTCCGTAAAAGATTTTTTCGGATATTATGGAATGATGGATGGGTTTAATGGATATGTGTTTTCGTTTGAAATATGTGAGCAATGAATATTTTTGTAAATTAAATTGGAAATAGATCGTGAATAGAATGAAATTTCTCTAGGGTATTATAATTTTGACAGATATATGTTTCTTTTAATGAAATCCGAGATTTCTGTTTCTAAAATAAGCGGTAAAGCAATATGAAACGAAACAACAGGAAATTTAATAAAATGGAATAATGGGATGAACTCGAGATGAAGCTTGGAGAGTTCAAAACAATTTGGACAGGAAGTGGCAAACGAGATCATAGCATAGCTAATTTAGTATAAACTCTGTCTGAAAATATTTCGTTCTTTGTCTTTCAAGAATTGTTCTCTCTCTCTCTC